TTTTTTTATTTTTTTATCTTAAAGAGAAAATAACAAAACAACAATGGAGACAAAAACAAAAACAATACAGAAACAACAAGAAAGATACATGACCTCAAAACAAAATGATAGGAATTAACAATGGTTGCTATATTACATACTGTTATCTTCAACAAAATTGCTTAGTCCATCAGACATAAGAATGCAAGATTGATCAAACAACCAAAGACAGTAATAAGTAATAATTTAAAAAAAAAAATCACTGGAAACGATACAGAGCTTCACTATACAAGATGGTAGGAATTTAATAATGGTTCTTATACTACATATTGTTGTCTTCAAATCAGTCATTCGATTACCAGACACAAGCATGCAAAATTGGTCAAGAAAAAAGAGAATTCTAAGCATTAACTGTTCCTTTCAATAAACCACAGACATCAGCAATACACCTATCCCAGCTATTCTTATATATCCATATAAATTTTGTTTTCCATTTTAAAGAGAAAAGAAAAACAAAATAACAACATTCTAATTTTAATAAGACTATAATATAGTCCTACATCTATGTAATGTTATATTACATAACATTAATACTTTAATTTCATCTACTGAATGTTTCAAAAGGATTAAATTAAATATTTAATTTGGTTGACAATCTACTACATCAAACAAACAGGGCAACAGCTGATTAAAAGTTGAAGGCAAATAATGAACAGAGTGTCGAAATACAGAGCAATCACATCCTTGGATGAACAAACTCTTGTTACAAGACTCACCCTTGGAGAAAACCTACCATCCCAGGACCACAGCTGGTTCCATCTGCCAGGGGCATGTGATGTGTGCGGCAGCCCTTGTGAGCACCCTCTGAGCTTGTGCACCACAGACGCCGGCACTGTTTCTGCAGAGCAACGAAAGGCAGGTGAACAACACCACACGGAGCAAGTCTAGGACACCAACTGATTAGCTGATCTACTTCCTGACTTTAGGGTCAAATTTGGAAATAATCCGCAAATATCCTTACTGAATATTTTCTAGTCATTGATTTCCTCGAAGCACCACAAAATGGCATCATTTACATTCAAAAAAATTGTAACTGTTCCTTTCAATAAACCAATAAAAATTAGTAGTACAATTATCTTAGCTATCTTGTGGTATATATATTTCCCTTCTTATATCTGGTAACCTGAACAACTGCTTTGAAGACAACAATATGCAACAGAACAACCACTGCTGAATTCCTATCATGTTGGGTTTTTTTGAAATTCTGTATCGTTTCTAATGTTTTTTATTATTTTTTATTCTCTTTAAAATTAAAAAAAAATTAAGCTCTGTTCCTACAGGGAACAATGGGAGAAATGAGTCAGAGTTGAAATATTCAAAATTATGTGAGATGTATTCTTTCTCTCTTTACGAGATATTTTTCTAAAGGACTTCTTTGTTGTTAAATGTTATTCATAAAGGGTTTTCAAAACCCCTTTTGATGCAACGGTGGAATGTATGAATAATGTGCATGGAAATGCATTATAATGTCCTAGAGTTTCCTATTTTATGAATACAATGCATACTTTCAAATTCTGAACATAGGACTCTGATATTTTCACATGAAGTCCACAGAGGGTCACAGGAGCAACGCCGAATGTCTTATTTTGAATTTAAATTAAAGTTTATCTAGTAGATAAATAACCAAATATTTCAGTGGAAATTGGAAGTACCTCATCTGGGAAAAAATCTCCAAAATAAATTATAAAGTAATAGCTTCATGAAAACTAAATAATATGCCCCCAATTTAATTCTCTTGGATCCAAATCTATGTAAAATAAAATGTAGTCTATTAGACTCCTGCGGCCTTTAAAACAACTCACTAGCAAATTATCTACCTTTTACCCTTTACCGAGGGCTCAGGTCAGGTAATGTGAGGAGAGACTGCAGTTGATATGAAGATATTTTAGTTAGATACTGCCTTCCAGTATCTAACATGAAAACATGTTATTTATTTGTCCACAGAAAGGATTTATCCCTCAACTATTTAGCTTTAGTGGTTTAGACCTTGTCACTGTATTTGGAGGAAAGAATTACTACTGATAATAATAACATCAATAGATCCAACCATATTATCACTTACATGTGAAAAACCATGCATTTATATTTTTACCATCTATCAATACACTATGCAGTCTACATTCTATTGTTATTAGCAGTTAGTTTGCAGTGTAGAAGAAGAAGGGAAGGAAAGAGATGGTGGGATGGGTGAAAGAGGAGTGCGAATCAGCAGGAGGGGAGGTGGGCAGAAGAAATAATAATAGGCAACAATATTAGATGAGGGGTCAAGTTCTGTGGACGGTCTCTTGGTTGGAACAAAGGGTGAGTGCTGAAGGCTTGAAGAAGGTATCTGCAGGATAAGGATGGGATGTAGAAGGAGGGAGGTGGACTCTGGAGCTGAGGAGAGCTACATGGCTGTCAGAACTTACTGATGCATTTGTGGACCTACAAAGCGGAGAAGTGGCAAGGGAGGGCAAGGGGCCTGGGTAAGATAAGAAGAGCGAAAAGAATAAGAGAGAGGACAGAAGATTAATTAATACAACAGAAGGTGGGAGTAACTGAGAGAGAAGAACATAGGGAAAAACTTGAAAGAAGAATTTGAAAAGTGAGAAAAACAAGTAAAAAATAAGAAAACAACACTGCTACGGAAGCCCGAGTGGAAGAAACAAAGTAGACAAGAAGAGGGAAAGAAAAGAAAGAACTAAATCAAAGCAGAGAGAGCGAGGGCGAAACTGCAACGGGAACCCAGATCAAACACTCCGAGAGAATGTAGACCCGGTTCCCACACGACCGCTACAGCATGAAGCCCACTGACCACACAGTTCCCTTCTCGTCTTAGTTGCTGTCTGACTGCAGATAGCACACCAATTTCCCCTCTTTTCCTTTGCACTCAAAACCCAAACTAATCCAGTCTCAAGAATTCTCCGCTAAAGCCAGCAAGCAGAAGCTGATGCTGTCCCTAGGCGTGGTTTGAGGACTCTCCCCCACCCCCAAGTGTGATAACGGCGTCACTGGGCATTTGTGGGTGCCAGCAGGGATCCGTGGGAGTCAGCAGGCATCCATAAGAGACCACAGGCACCACTCCCTTGTTCATCCTCTCTTCCCAGAGAGGAGAGAGTTCCCTTCTCAGCAGTAAGTGCTGGTGAGGATGCCACCAGGTAGCAGCACTCCCTAGGAGTTATGGTTTGCGTCTGGATGTCCCCTCAAAGCCTCATGCAGTCATGGGGTGGGCTTTTAGAGTTTATGATTGGCCCATGATCCAATGCTGGGATTACGGGTGTGAGCGCTACACTGGCCCTGGGGAGGATAGTTTCCATATGTAAGGGACAGAAAAAGGCTGCTTGCTGCCACTTTTCCCTTTTGCTCTTGCTGCTTTTGCTGTCTTCCGCTGCCATGAACGGTTGCCCTCTGAAATGCGCCACCCTGCCTTGGAGCCAGCCAAGTGTGGACTGAAACCTCCACAAACTGTAAATAAACCTTTCCTTCCTTAATTTTGGGCATCAGGTATTTTGTCTCGGCAACAAGAGAAAAGTAACCAGGACAGTAGTGTTTGGAGGAGAGGTGATGGGAAGAAAGGGCCAGTACTGCACGTGCAGAGTCTGTCCAGAGTCCAACAGCACTTCTGTTCTCCCAGGCTGTGTGGAATGTGTTCACAATGGCTGCTCCCCAAGGGCATGGGGCCTGGAGCAGTGCAGGTCAGCTATGGTGGTGCCACTTCCCTTTGCAGCAGTATAGATAGTTGGTTTGATCTACATGTACAGTCTTTCCAATCAATTTTCTATTTCAGGGTATAAATCCCTCCCCCCAATTACAGAGTATCTGTGGCTCCAGTGAATCTTTTCTGAGCACCTCTGATGTGACACCTCCTCTCGTCAGCCATGTTGGATCTTAATGATATATTTTAACTGCAACTTTAAGGTCATTTTAAACAAAAGGTTCAAACTGTGCTTACCAAATAAGGACATACTTGTGATCCAGGACCAAACATAAGTTCACACTGTCTGTTTACATCGTACATTAGGCCCGGGAGTTGTGGAGACAGGTCATATATCCTTCCACTTGGCTTGTCGAGAAGACACTCTCCATAACCAGTGCTGCACGGACAGAAAACAAACATTCTGAATACACATGGACTTCAGACTAACACGCTCTCCTATGGTTTCTGTAGCTCTTCCCCTTCAAACAGAACATGCATACTTTCCACAACTTAAAAACCAATTCATATTAACGTCAGTATAGCAACATTCCCACACACAGTAACAGCCTCACAGCTTACAAAGGGCTTCTAATATGCTTATCTGTGTTTGGTCCCCACAACTAACTAGAACATGCAATTTTTTAAAAAATAGGTGAGAGGATGTTATTCAATGATACAGCACTTGCCTCACATAGGCAACACACACATGTGTGTACATAATAAACAAATTCATCAGAATATAATTTATATCAAATTCTGGGTCTATTTTGCTATCCAATGGTAATGCCTCAAATGTAATGTGCAAATTGTCAAAATGCTGTAAAAATAAAAATGAGTTTTTAAATCACTTGAGAAAGGATATTTCCAGTTATAAACCAAAAAAAAAAAAAAAAAAGGAAATTTCAAGAAGTTTCATGCTGTCTTCAATTCAAGAAGTTTCTTCAAGAAGGACCAAAGCAGAACCAAGATCACTGCTTTGGGAGCTAACATTTTGACCCTATCACTTGATGTACGGCAGTGAACAAATTATTGAATCACACCGAGTTTAAGTTTCCTCATGAGTGAACTGAGAGCAGTAGTATTTATCTGGTAGTTTAGAATACACTCATATACCATGTAGAGATTTTTAGGCTAATCATGAAACACAAATAACATAGTGGTCCCATGAGATTATACAGACCTAAAAACTCCTATCTGCCTAGCGACATTGTACATCCTAACGTTGCAGTGACACATTACCCGCGTCTGTAGTAATGCTGCTGAAAATGAAGCTACTATACTGACAGCTGTATAAAAGCATCTTGCACAGAATTATGTCAAGTATGTAATACCTGATAGTAAATGACTTACTAAATTATGCATTTAGTACTGTACTTTCTATCATTATTTTAGAATGCACTCCTACTTATAAAAATTTTGCTGTAGAGCTACATGCCCATCCAAATATATGCCAGCAGCCGCTTCATGTTTCTCATGTTTACTCATCAAATGATTGACTGACACTATTTAGGTTTGTGCAAATCCACTCTGTGATGTCTGCACAACAACAGATGCACTCCAGGACACATTGCTCGGGCAAGGTATCGGTCATTAAGTGACACACAGCTGTACATGATATATTAAAACAACAGTACAGTGCTAAATTGCATGGGCTATATATACATTACTCCTATTGTTTCATAAAATGTCCAACCTACAGAAAACTATGAAAATGTTTAGCTATTCTTCATGGGCTAAAATCAACAATTTGTTCCACTGTAATAATCAAAGGCAATAATTTTGGGAACTTTTATTGGCTAAAAGGACATTAATTTTTTCAATAAGATGTACATGTAACTTTTAAAATCTCTATCAAGGAGAATCCAAATATTTCCCCCTTTCAAGAATAAGCACATTATGTGATATTTTCATTAATATGTAACTTAACCACTGATCACAGTTATATGCAGTCATGTACCAATCAGCAACTGTATGTTAAGCTTTTACATCGAATTCCCTTAGAAGGATAAATTTTCACCAATGGTGATAATTACAGGTTGTAATTATTAACACATTTTCCAAAGCAGCTTTAGTTCTTCCCATACCTTTCATCCAGACAGAACTACTTCTAAGTATCAAGACAGAAGTAAAATACTAATGTTGTTAAATTGGTGATCAAAATATACAGCAGAAGACATGAAATAGTACTATATGTATGCAAAAGGCAGTTCTGGCTTGCCTTTTTGGATACCTCAATAACTATGGTAAAGACAGCTTTGGGAAAAGAAATTGGGAAGCAGAAAACTGATAGGTCAAGAAATGAAAGGCAGGGAAAACCTGGATCCGCCTCCTCTGTTCAGAGGTAGGAAGAACGGAAAGCTGGAGACCCCACATCTCTGTGGGTTTTGAGAACTATTTACTTGTTTGACTTCAAGAGTACCTCAAACCTGAGGCACTCAACCACATCTCAAAATATTGCTCAGTAACCTCTGAAAAGGTCAAAAACACAACAGGAAGGCATGACTGCCACTAAGTCTCTCCCAAACAGAATTTTCAGCACAAGAAAGGATCCAAAGATTTTTAAAAAGATACACAGGTCCTATTGCAATGAAAACATTTTTTAGTAAAGAGGTGAAATAATGGACACATGCATCATTTTTATTGCTTTTAAATTTCTACAATACGATGAAAGCAGGCTTACATCTGAACAATTAAAAAACAAACTGAGCCACATTAAAAGAGCATAGAAACTACAAATTTATAGTCACATCTATGTTCAATTACTCAACATAAGCAATATAAATTCAGACTTACTCTAGGAATTCAGTGATATACTTCTGACTACATTTTGACCAGGTCCAAGGATTTGAATCGTAATTTAAAGTTGGGGCCATTACATGATATTGATGTTTATTTCCAACTTCTTTACACTTAAAACTATCATCATGTGGAACATTAAATCTAAAAATAAAAATAAACACTTAAGAAAGCTGTAAAACTGTACATAGCATTAATAATATATTTCTTATAAGTGTATTATAGTAGAATGTAAAATATAGGTAAGTCTGGTTACATCAGATCTCGTATGCTGGAACTCTCCATCAGCACACATACAAACATAATTCCGTGTTTAGAAGTAAACAGCACAAGGTTATGCTTCTGATCAGTCAGCAGTGTGCTCTGTTGATCTGGCAGGTGAGTCTAAACAAGAAACATACTGGGAATACGGCTCACCTCCTCACAATATGGGCATAGAATTCACATAAACAATGACTGAAAGTTTCAACATCGATATCCTAAGGAGAAATATGCAGATGTATTAGGTAAGGTGATACTGCACTAAGTTCTAGGCCATTGACTATTGCTACAGGATCTTTCCTCATGGACTCTGCCATACCATGATACCCATCTATTTTCTATGAAGCAACCTAAGCACTGCCTCTGATCTGTAATTAATCAGGGCTGCTCAGTAGAACTGGAAATAATAAAAAAAAAAAAAATTCCAAAGGGCAAGCAAATCATTAGAACAAGAGCAAAGATATGTAATTAGCAGGTCAAAAACAGATCGTTCACTGTCTTTTGCAGACTTAAGCATAACCTCAAGGCTAGGAGGAATGCTGAAATCCTCTAATTCAAGTTTTTACCTGTTGAAATTTGCTATTTAAATTACTTTATTTATTAAACTACTCACCAATAATCTAGAGATACCTAGGGTTTCTGAGGAAGGAAATAAATGTCTAAGATAGCACTTCCTGTAAGGACAAACATCTAGTTAGCAGCTCTGGAAACCAGCAAATGGTGCTTCCCAGACGTTGCTACAGTAACTCGGGGGCCATCCTCACCCTTCCCCACCACTTCAAAAACAACTTAGAAAACCGAGTGTGCAATCTGCTGATGGCACGAGCTATTGCTAGGCTAACAAGGACCCAAAGGTGTGCTAGTTCCCTCAGAAATCTCCACTTCAAGTTACTCTACATGAATGCACTCATGATGTCTAAAGGCATGACCTGCAAAATACATGTGGTCAAACTAAGACAGCCAACTGTAGCCTCAATTCGTTTCTAGGCGATAACAAAGAAAGTCCACCAAGATACACACTGGGGATACATTTAGCTCATGTAGATCATTTTTCAGAGGCTGTTTTAGGGCTCTCCGAGTTCTCACGGGCGCTCCCAGGACGTTCTGGCAAATCATAGTCACCACTCTGCCAGCACAGAAGCCCCAGCCGAATTTTAGCAAAGCAAGAATGGATAAGAGCACCTCCACTCTTTATAACAAACAATGGGGTTGGGAGGCAGAGAGGGGACGGAGCCTTCAAAAATCTTTTAGTAAATGAGAAATTCCTGTGTGCGTCCTCTGCTGAGGCTCTGAGCTACAAAAACAAGAAAGAAGTTGACTTCACAAGTATTCTTGGGAGTTCCCCAGCCCCTTCAGGCTTTCCCACAAGATGGCGGAGGACAGTACCTGCTCATACACAGGATGACAAGAAATAGAGGCCAGGAGTGCTTTCAGGCAACCTAGTAAGTAAAAGAAAGAAAAGGATTCCCAAGTTCTGGGCTTTTGTGTTTAATCTGTGGATCTGTGCAGCCTCTCTGACCTAACACAGATGTTAAAAGAACCAGGATCAGCATGTAAGGGAAGAAAATTACACCACTAGTATTTTATGAAGAAATAAAGGTGCTAATTATTCGACTGAATAAATAACGTCATGCATTCTGCACAATGACAGACAGAAGGTGCCTCGCCGGGTGACGGGGTACTTACACGTGCCCGAGCTCATGGGCGATAGTAAAGGCAGCACTGAGTCCATTTTCTTCGCTAACAGAGCAGCTCCGCAAAGGGTCACACAGTGTACCCAACTCTGCTAAGCCTGAAAAATTCCACATCTGAGTTTACTCAAAATGGAAAATACCACCAAAAACACACAGCAAGAACTAAATTTCAACGTGTTTAACCACTGGAATTACTACTTGGACATGGATGCACAGTTGGATGATTTTAAGGTGAAAGAACAAACACTGGATTGACTTTTCTTCCGTTAAACTCCTTTTAGTGAATCCTTGGATTCTTTTACTTGAGAAAATAATGCAACAATATGGGGTGAGCAGATAATTTTTAAAAATATAAGAAAAATAACAAAGATAATTGATTTAGTAGGAAAGGCAACGAATTATAAAGTAACATTAGAAAAACTAGTAAGAGAAGAAGATAGCACAGAATACTATAAATTTAGGAAGTTCCTTTAACTTTTGAAGCTTGAAACACCATAGAAATATACAATTATCACATGATAAGGAATAAAATATGTTAAGTGCTTAGAATGGCATCTGCCATTTGATAGATGCTAAATAAAACACAATTATGATACGATTACTGCAAACCCTCAGTAATCATATAACTATTCCAGCAACAATATAGGTTATCATATATTAGGATCTTTTCATTCCATATAAAAAAATAATATGCAGCTCAAATATTCCATAGAAAGAGGAAGATGGTATAAACTGGATGGCCAGCAAAGACAGCAATAATGAGTCTACAGGGTCAGCTAAAAATAATACAGAATAAGAAAATCAAAATAAATATTCATTACAACAAGGTCCATTCTATCATCAATCAATTTCACTTTTCACTTAGTTTTAATTTAATATAATGCTACGGTTTTTGCTAATCCATCCTCCAATATTCAGTTATACACTTACCTGCCCTCCTGTCATAACTCCTTTCACAAAAGAGAATGCATTTCATAGATAAGATAGAAGAAGTTAGTTTCCTACTGTAAAGTTTTTGCATTCAGAAACTTCTTAATGCACAGGTGAATGTGTAATTAACCTCTCTTCTAGGTATTCTTTGATTCATAAGAATTAAAAACATTTAAGATAGATTTCCTAACAATTGGAATGCGGTAGGAGAAATGTGCAGTAGGAGAAATGACAGTTGAATGAAGCAATCTGAAAAGGCTGGGAAAAAGTCAACCACAAGAATATTAACCAAATCAGAAATGATTTTTCATCTTTCTGAACTTACTGCCAAAAAGCCTTGCCTGGGCACACACCCCTGCCCTTCCCAACCCACCCGCAAAGAGCATTTTCTTAGTTAAAATCAAGACCATGAGCAAGGAAGGAAAGAAGGGAGAACTTTTCTTTAAAAAGGACTGTAAAGACTATGACTATAAAAGACAAAAACCTGTAAAAGTCTCTGGAGAATATGAGGGAATTCCTGTTTTCCTTAAGATCTTAAAATTCATGCTTACAAGTGTAGTTTCTTAGTCAATTCTCATCTTGTTGTGTATTTTTCAATTGTCCTAAGTTTCAGGTAAATGCATTTCTTTTATGGATAGTCTATCCCCATGCTTTATTTCACTGATATTTTTAATCTACCAAATGGATCACTTCCAATATGTTTGTCTTGAGCTGTACAGATGTTTGGAACACAGAACTGAATCTATTACCCCTCTAACTGTGTATTTCATGCTTTATCATTCTCTGTGTGCTGAACATTTCCATCACATAAGATTATGAGACTGTATATTGCATATGATTAGAGACCAGGCTCCAATTTCCACATCAACAGGCAACACCAACAAAAACTGAAGCGCACGGTCTATTGTGGTACCAAGCTGCTGGTTGACAGTTTCTAACTGGATTCATTCAAGCTGAGTCAGGATTCTTCAAATGTTTTCATAGAGAGAAAGGAGCACGGGCTCAAATGTGATAGAGTTTCTCTGTCTGAAGGGTGAGATACTCTGTAGAGTCACCCAGTCTAGCATCTTGAAGCACGAACAACATTTTTCATATATTTTGTAAAACATGCTCAGGAACTTGGGCAACAGCACATACACAAGGAGGCACAGCAAGAAACCCGGTCATCGCTGCTAGCATTTTGTGCTTGTCATTAGTAGCCTTTCATGGCTTATTTTTAAAATATATTTTAGATGAGAAAATAAGATATTAATTCTTTTTTTATTTTAAAGAGAATAGTTTTTAAAAAGAACAATAGCAAAATACCAACATCACAGACATAAAACAAAGCAAGGGAAAATTATTCATCCTCATCTATAAAACTTCAATGACACTGGTACTTACTTCGTGGTTTGCTCTGAAGATCAAGTAAGTTAAATCATGGGAAACCCTAATATGGTGAGGAGATGTAGGAAGCACAAAGCCATGTTAGCTGTCACCATTATCATTATCCTTGAGCAGTGGATAATAGTAATGATTTCACCTTCACAGTCTACTTCCTAAATGTCACTATAATTTGTGTGCCTCGGGCCGGGGGGAAACTACCACAGCATAAATGGGAATCAGGAGACCACCCACTTCCTGTAGGAGCAGCCTAGCATGCCTAACAGTAAGCAATTTAAAAACAGTGAGAACAGCAACCCTTCAGTAAAAGTTTGTACTACTTCAAGTCTAAAGATGTGAAAAAAGACTGTAGATAACGTATGAGATATATTTAATATTATTATTAAATGGCTAGTCCATAATATAGACCTAACAAACACAGAGAACAGTTTGTAGGGTGGAGAGAATTCAGTTTGCTATCAAATTAGAGCACCAGGCATCTATTTTCACAACTGTGGACGATTAGTTTCTAAGAAACTTCCTAGTATGAAAAGTAGGTACATGATTTATTGGAACTATTAAGTCTTTACCTCTGAAACTTAACACACATATTCTCTCTGTCTTTCAAATACATAAGCAGATAAACGCACGCTCACACACACACACACACACAGTGAGCTAAATCTCAAGTGGTAAGCAATGAATAGTAAAGTTAGAAGATATTCTAAGGGCAAATACTGATAAATGGAACATAATGCACAGATGAAGAGATTGCTAGAGGAAGCTTCAAAGTAGATGTGGATCCTGACTCTTCTGCTTTAAGCCAGGTACCCCAATTGTGAACACCCTTTGAATTGCAATAAAAGGTGAAAACCTTCCAGAAGAAAAGCATGTCTGAGCTGCTATGTCCAGCTTTACTTCAAATTAATCCACTTAATATTAAGTAAGGTGAGATCACAGTCAAAGACCCTGAAACATACATACAAGTCAGCATAAGTTAGCAAAATGACACATTTAGCCATCAAGTATTTTAGATATAGGTATTTTCACAAACAAAATAGAAATAAAATTATTTCATGTAAAATGTTAAAGGAAATATTCAGTTACAAATACAAACAAATATTTTTAAAGAAAAATGAATAGGTTGGTTTTGAATAAGACCTACTCATAATATTAGTTTTCAATTTGAATCTATATATTACAATGGTAAATGTGAAGAATGAATGAAAGATTAAACTAGATGTAGCCAAAAAGAGAGATGGTAAAACAGAAATTACAGTGCTTGAATGAAGCGCAAAGAGTAAAAAAGAAAAATAAAAGAAGACATGGATAACAGAATGAGAAGTCAATATATACATAATTAGGGGCCCAAGGTAAAAGTGGATTAAATTAAATGACAAAATTTGAAGAAAAAAAATGAAAAATAAATGGAAGTTTCCAGAACTGCTGAAAGATAACCATTAATTGAGGATTTACGTATGTCTAAGCAGGATAAATAAACACAAGTTTAATTAAACTGCATTATATCCAAGACAAAGAGAAAACCTCACTAAAAAACAATTGAAAAAGATCACCTAAGAATCTGTAGTTAAATAGACTATAATTCACAATAGCAAATGGTAGAAGACAGAGCAAGAATACATTAAAAATACTTAGAAGATAACTAGAATTGCTTCCTAGAAAGCTATATTTTCAAAATCAGAATGTATCTAAAATATTTCTAAAGACATCAAAATAGATAATTTACCACTATTTCACTAAATAAAAATTTAAAGGATATTATTCAGTGGAAAAAAGGAAAACGATCTCAGAAATCTAGGATTTAAGATAAAAAATTTATTGAAATTCTGTATACATGGACAACAAATTTAAATATTGACTCTAAAACAATGTCTAACATTCAAGGCTTACAAAATGACAGAAATAAAATAGTAAACAGGAATACTTTGTAAATTAAGGGGAAGCTGAACTCAGTAACTACAATACAAAAGCAGACAGACCAATGTTTCCAATTTTTAAAGGGCCATTATATTCAATAATTTTAAAATATAAATATATGTTGACTTCAAGAAAAAAAAAAAGCTCCAGTACACAAGCACACTGGAAAATCGGGGGGAAAAGATACAGCTACCAAATATCCAACAAGAGAAAGTTAAGGCAATTTATGAAAAAAATACCTATTACTGGAAGATATTTTAAGAGTCCTACTTAAATACATATATAATTTTTTAAAAGAACTGAATGAACCTATAAGTGCTTTATAAGGACTTGACATGCTGGTTCCAAAATATTCATTGGATAAGTAAAAGTCTAAAAATAGTCAAAATACTCTATAAGGATATAAGATGGGGTACATTGTGCACCAGTTGGTAACACTTATTATAGAATAGTAAGAATGAAAATGGTGGGATTGGTGGATGAATTAAATAAAGATTATGCACTCATGAAAGGAAGGGATGATGTGAAAACTCTAACGCATACAGAAATTTGATTATGTCACACTGTAAATTCCAAGAGGAGAAGAATTACTCAATGTATGGTTTAGGAAAGCCCAAATAGAAAGAGAAAAGCCTATCTAAATGGAAAAGGAACTAACAAAAGCTATAACCATCGCTGGTTCCCCTTTGATTGGATATTAACTGTAAATGGATAAATTTAAAAATATATAACAGAATGTCTAGACATTGAGTTACAGAAGAGTTTCTTAAAGATACAAAAAAGCTAACCATAAAAAGAGGTTTATAAATTCTGCTACGTTATATTTTCACAAACAAAAGAATAAAAACCAAACAACAAATTTTAATAGATATTTTAATACCTATAAGCCACAAAGTGCTTCGCACCACGAAGTTATAAATATTTAAAAAGCAGTAAGACAACAACAAATATCACAGCATAAAAATGTACAGTATTTCTTTTATTTATTTCATTCCTTAAAGGAAACAGCGAAGTATATCAAATGTTCAAACTTATCATCAATCAAAAAAATAAAAATTATGACTCTCATGAATTATTCTGTTTTTAGACCACCAAATATGAGAAATCTGAAGATGTCCTCCATTGCCAGGGATATAATAAATGAACTCTTAGACTTTATTAAGAAAGATGTACATTGGTATACCCACTACAAAATAAACTGGCATACTGCGTAAGGTTGAGTACATGTTCAATATTCCTTTTGCAAAATTCCTGGAACCACAGTATTTCATATTTCAGCAATTTTTGAAATTTGGAATATTTATATAGACTTTACCAGTTAAGCATCCCTAATCTAAAAATCAAAACTCTAAATTGCTTTACAATTTGGAAAATAAAATTTTTTTATTTCTTGAGACAGGGTCTCACTCTGTAGTTTAGGCTGGCCTTGAAGTTACCATGTAGCCCAGGCTGGCCTTGAACACATGGCGATCCTCCTGCCTCAGCCTCCCTCTCTGCTGGGATTACAGGCATGTGGCAACACACGCAGCTAAAAATCTGAAACTTTTAAATGTCATGTAAGCACCCAAAAGTTTCAATTATAAAGCTCAAAATGAAGCAAAACTAAATAATTTCCTGTTCAGAAACACATGCAGTACACAAAAGTATCATTTTTCAAAAGATGGAAGGAATTGACAGATACAAAATTCACAGTACTGGCTCTTCAGTAAAGGCAGAGTAACAGAGTAAGGATGGAAAGTGACAGCAGCAACGGTAGCAACGGAGTTCGAACTCAACACTGGCGGTGGATTCACGGCACTCATTTTATTATTTTGCTTTAATAAAGGTTACGTGTCATCTTCCGTCAATCACATATTACCCAATAAAACACTTTAAATTCAATGTCACACCATGCATAGCATTTGATATTTAGTAATTGACTAATATTAGTTCTTGTATTCTATAAAGTTTACAGAGACAGGATCAAGTAACTGTTATTAAGTACTGTATAGTAACTTACCAAGGTAATTAATTAAAATGATTGAAGAGTCAAATAAAAGAAAAAAATAACAATATTTTAAATAATTCAATAAACAATTATACAGGCTAAATTTGATTGACACAATAACTTACCTAATGTGTCACACTTCTCTCTAGCTCCACAAATGTCTTCCCTTAAAATAAAAGATTTATTTTGAAACATCTTCAGAAATATTTTTGTAACAATTCAAAACAAAAATAAGGATTAATCATGACATTACTAGTACCACAAATAACTTCAAAACTCCAGAGCAATGCATCCTTTGTGCATAAGCAAAAGGTGCGTGAGGGTGGAAAATAGTTGAAGATTTAACCAGGTTCCACAAACAGTTTTCTGTGTATGTTTCACCTTTCTGCCTTCACACAGAATATATAACACTGTTCATTTTCCTCTAAGTATTTCAATGCTGTCGTGAGCTTCAGTTCTCACGTAAAATAATGATCCTCTCAGACATTAGCAAGTTGTTTAAATTGTGCTCCTGCGTTACACTGTATTTAGTCCCTGACCAATCGGTCTAATGGTTCCCTTGTCTATTTCCTACGTTCTCTTCACATGGTGTTTCCCTCCCGTCCCCCACTTAAATGAGTTAACCGCAATCTTTGCTACTTGATCTCTAACTACAGGCAGGACAAAACCATGGGCTGTGACAGAGTAATGTGCATAAATTAAGTCAATTCTGCTTTAGTCTCAAAAACAGAGAAAGTACATGGGCAACATGTCAGCTCTTTCACATGAACTACATTTTTTTCATTTCAAGGTTCTAGAAAGCTGATGTTTCCTTGAGATTTACTTCCAACAAATGATTACTTACTAAACCAATCAACAAAAGAACAAACCTAAGATCTATCTAGCCTCATACTATCAGTGTTACAAAACAAACGGAATTATGAGCACTGTGTAGCAGTGCTTATGAAATGGAGACAATTTTATAATAACCAAAGTCATTTTCATATAAATAAACAGAATTACAAACAACCCTAGCAAAGGTAGTCTGGTAATTCTGGCATGCATTGACCATAAAAAAAAAAAGTAGACAGATAGGTAGACAGACAGACAGACAAACAGACAGACAGACAGGTGATAGACATTTTTAAAAAGTACAGAGAGTCACAAAAAATGGGCAACCAAATAATTTCAGATGCTCTTTTTTTATTTTTCAAGCAACTGAAACACCAAGAATGGAATGGACGAAACCTGCTCTCGGTTCTGTGACAGATTCTAGAAATTACTCCTAAGTCTCTCATTTTGTCACTCATATAATGAGATTATTTTGTTTAGCTCGAACTATTACTCAGCAATCTGACCTTACTAATTTCCAAAGGATCTACATCATGGTACAGTCTGAAAGAACAGATAAATGCTTTCATTCAATAAACATTTGCATTTAACAGTTCCGTGTTTACTGGTAAGAGGATTAAGGTAACATCAGCAGCAGTCATCAAGCAGGACAGAGAAAGAGAGAGTCAAGAGTTACAGTTGGAAGGGTCGTTTCTAAAACGGTACCTAGTGATAAGAACGGCAGTGTCGTGGTGGGAAGGGTGAGAATCGTCAGGAACATTCTGAGTCTGCTGCCACAAACAAAAGTTGCGCAACGTGGTAGCTGCATTAAAACTGATGACTGGTCCTTCCTGTGCAAAATAACAAGCAATTCAATACAATGCCAAAGTACGGAAGTCCGCTCTTCCTCCCGAGCTATACAATCTATCACACAGAAGTGTCACAGGTCCGTGAAAGAATGGCATCACCTCGCCTTCACAGATTTAAAAATTCTTTAGTAATGTCTAAAGCGTTCTGATCAAAACCGAATCTAATTAGATCTCACTGGAACGGTCAATTTTTTTTTTTTTTTTTTTTGGTACCAGGAATCAAAGTCAGGACGTTGCGCTTGTCAGCCATCAATTACATAGGATAAAAAACTAACTTTTAAAAATTTACATATTTAAATCCTTCAACATGAGGACTGTAAAGTAAATAACGGGATGTTTGCCAACTTAGATTTCTAAATTGTTTATTCATTTTTGTTACCTCCTTGGTTCAGTTCAACGCTATTATCATTCATTCTATTTCCATCACAACAGAATAGAATATCATCCTTTTCAAATTAAGTTTTTTTTATAGAAAATTTCTAAAATATCTAATTCGAGTAAGAGTTCTGTGGTCTACATACAGTCTCACTAAAAGTGTACCAACATTACTAATCTTAGCCTGTCTCTTACCTGTTCATTGTGAATTATAACCAATTTTACAATTACTATGTTTATAAGATTTCCAATGCTTGAATCTTTGTAGATTGCTGCAACCTGTAAATAAAAAAAAGATTAGATGCCTACAATGACTACTTCTTCTCAAAGAGCCAATTGAAACCCGTCCTACAGCATCAATTCTCCAATTTAGTTGCACACAGCATAATCTTCTAGAAAATTTTGACGAATTCTCGCACTCAGGTCACATCCATAATGAATTAAATCAGAATCTCTAGGATTGTGACACAGACATCAGTATCTTTGAAAAGTCCCCTGTATTTGAATGGCTCTAACATGAAGCAGAGTCGGGAACCAGGATGCTAAACCTCGCCACTGAGACTGGTGCACGGGTCACCAGCACCTACACAGGGTAATCGAGAGCTGGAGAGCTGGTAAGAAACACAAACTCAGATTCTGCATTTTATCAAATCGCCCACATGATTTAAATCCATCTTACGGTTTAGAAACTACTGGTAGATGTGATGAGCAAGAAACTCACTTTATTCTGGGCTGCAATTTGCAATTTATATGACCACCATACTCTAGAAAGTAAATCCAACTTGATCTATTCTTTAGCGTTAATATTTTTGCCCTCGTTGCATATTTCCTATTCTGAACACGGTTATTATTTTTTAACATTTAGCACTACTGGAATCCAGGGAGGTAGACTCATGTAGAATCGTGTGAATAGCTATAGAAGAGGTCAAGAGTCACAACCTATTTCTCAACGATCCAAGACTAGAAAACACGAGTCCAAGTGGCCCTATGGATGGGCTCTGCCTTGGGCTCAGTCGATGATTTATGCTTAAGTTGCTTTCCCATCCCTGCTCCGCATCTTCTTCCCTTAGCTCTCACAGCGGCTACCACTGCAGGAGGAAGGGACTACTTCAGAGATGGGAGTCTCTCTGGACCTGGGCCACCTGTGCAAAGAAAACTCTCCCACCCCAACTCTCGGGCTCCGTCCCAAGCTAAGACAGTTTACTGCTTCAAGGAGTGCTACTTCTCCCTTTAGTTTAATGAATAAATTCTCAGCCTCTACTCCTGGCTTTGCTGGCTAGAGAAGCAGAGATAAAGAAGAGCACATCATCCCTGGCTTTGTAGAACTTACAGTTTGCTAGAGTTATCTGAACCAAGAGCCTCACTCCATCAGCCAAACCTGCTTTAAGGTAACGTATAACATGACTGCTGCCAGTGCCTCTTGTACCAAAGGGACGACTACCAGAACCAGGGCCAAAAGCATCTTTGGAGCTGCTGACACTATCGCATCAGCCCACTGTAGGCATAAAACACGTTCCAGCACCTTTGCTGTTGCCTGAGCTCTGCAGCCACAAATACGTACAGGTTTGCTGTCTTTACCTGCAGTGATGCCTTTGGCTCTGGTGCTAGCATTTTTTGGCAAGAGTGGTGGTAGCCCCAGTGGGGTCGACAGTAAGTTAGGCCAGGGACAGGCAGATGCTTGGTGAGTTCAGGCAGATCTGTTAGCACTGCAATCCTGCCCACTTTAAAATGGGAGCTGTGGAAATTTACAGTTGAATTTATAAATATTCATTTTATGTGCAACTTTAAAATATATATATCTACCACAGAAAACAGTATAATCATATTTCTGATGTCAGGGTTACCCTTGGGTTCTGTGAGTGTAAAAGTAGGTACTTTTCTCAGTCAAATTACAAGATAAACAACACAGCAAAGATATTAATAAGACTCTTTTTCCTCTAAAAATGATAAAACATCGCAAAGACTGTTGTGTCAAAGGATAATACGCATTCCCGTTTGTCCACTGAGAAAAGAGCTTAAATATAATAAGGAGTCCAAATGGCTAATTACTATACTCGCTGCTAATAAACTAACTACAAATGGCAATCCAAATGTTATCGTATCAGCTATAAAATATATAACTATAAAAATATTTTCAGTTTCTGAAGGAAAATAAATCTATACCTATATCAAAAAGTAACCAACCTACCAGCTAGAAGTCTGAAACAGATTCCCTATTTTCTGACAGTATGATTCAAAATACATTGTTACAACAATATCATTAGAATGCAATCCTAAAGGAAACGTAATGCGGATTAATTGTTATGCGTGTGGGTAGTGTTTATAGAGTCTGTTAAGTTACTCAGGTTCCAATTCTAAGAGCCATTTGTCGATAATGATTCTAGTTAGTAGGCTAGTACATGGTTTACATAAGACAGTGTACAAATAGCATTCAGATGAGAGCCTGGTTTGTAAGGATCAGTCACAGTAGCTGTTATTATTACCACCACCACTTTAAAACTGTCAGAAGAAAAGGCGTATGTTATACAAAGCCATGCACCACATAATGACTTTTCAGTCAATGCTAGATTTAATATAGCACAAAGGTAGCCCTATAGATTAGGTACAGCTGAACAATTTCTATTACCTACTGACACTCAGCCATCATGATGTAGCACAACACATACTTGTGCATTTCCGCTGATGCTAGTGTAAACAAACATCATGATTTAATCTTGTGTTGTTCTGTCCATCAGGATCCTATGAGCAACAGACTATATTGTACCTGTGCACTAGATAGCCTACATGTGCCATAAGTTATATCATCTAGCTTTGTATAAGGATACACTGTGATGCAGGCATAGGACAAAATCCCACAACAACGTATTTCTCACAATGAAGTCCCGCTGTTATGCAATGCATGACTGTGTAACGCTAGCTCTAGTACACATATTTTATTTATCTTTTTGGAGACTGGGTTTCACTATGCAGTTCAGGTTGGTCTTGAACTTACTATGTAACCCAGGTTGGCCTCAAACTCACAGCAACCCTCCTGCCTCAGCCTCATCCCTGCTGGAATTACAGAGATGCATGACCACACCTGGCACGTATTTTAAATTATGATAGCATGCCTAAACCTAAACCAAAGTCCCCCAAAGCATCATTGCTTCATTATTTATTTTAATGTTTACTGACTGCTGCCTATCAAACACTATGCTTACTAGATACACAGAGATGAATACGGCATAACCTTTTCCCTTATCTTACAGTCTCCTAGGGTGAAACATGAAAACAGTGGATTCAATTTAAATAACTTCTCCACACCCCCCACACACAGCCCCTCACACTGATACTTTGGGGGTTTTTTTCTAGTAAAGTAATATGTTTCATTATGTACTTAAGAAGGTCATGGGCTAGGGATGTAGCTCAGCACTTGCCTACCCACGGGCAAGGTCCTATGTTCAATCTCCAGCAGTGTCAAAAAAGAAAAAAGTCATCATGCTCACTTTAACTGTATGCACTGCCTACTGATTTAATTGTTCATCTCTGTATTCTATGTGCTTATGCACAACAGGTATAACTCTTTCCTACATTTAGATGTTTAAAGGTGCTATGACTAAATGTTCAATAACTCGATAACACTGATGTGTGATCAAATCAACGGCCCATCTGATTCTCAGAGAATTTTAGGATCAGCATAGACATTTCTCTCATCCCTAAAACTAGTATCCCATATTAGAATGTCTAAGTTTGTTATTAACAACAGATAAATAAAAAGTAATAAGTAGCAAATGGATAAAATATTTATGAATGATAATTATATGCCAAATGTTTAAATGTATTAACTCATTTAATTTCTACAAGTCCCATGAGATTTGAATTATTATTATGTCCATTTAATAGATAAGAAAACTAAGTTACAGGAAAGTTAATACATTAAAGGTTAAGCAGTCAGTAAGCACCAGAACCCAGTTCCTGCAGAGAGTGGCTGAGGCTGGAAGCTGATCACAGGCTTGCGGGCGGCGAGGGCAGGGCAAGGCCAGGAGGAGAAGAGCCCCTGAGGTGATCAAGCTGCTTCAATCCAGAGAAATGACTTGCTTGCTACAATCCCAGCCATTAGCTGCTAGGCAACCCTGTGTCTCACGATACAAACTTTGTCAAATGCATAAATAAATGCCTATAGGTGGCTGAGCAGTTCCCTTCCTCCTATGGGGTAGGGGAGGGCTCCACTTGACCTCAGCTTTTGCCTCTTATCTTTATTTCTCCATACTCTTATCTATCTCCACCCCACAAACATCTAGTACCGTGGGACACAGCAAATTCCCATCCTAGCAATCTGGGCTTAGAGCTTGGACTGTTATTATGTTATCTTATAGAATTTCAGCATTTTGTCTCAAGTTCTTGCTCATTAGCTCTTGCCAGAAAAACTATTTCAAAACCCCTTGCAACTCATTCCCTAACCTCTGATGTTGTCCTGCAGGTGGTAACCTGATCACAGCCTCGGAGAAATCCTATGCAGTCAGGAGACCAGATCTGAGTCCTAGCTCCACTGTTAGTTACACACCAGTTGTTGGATCTGAAGAATGGATTTTCTTCTTCTGTCTTAATATCTGCAGACACACTGAGACACTGATTCCCCTCCTCACAGTGCCCTTGTGCAATGGATTGGTGATAACCAGATGATACTGGGGGAGGAAAGTGAAGGATGCTTGCTTTAAAGGACAGAAATCTTACCACATTTTGAGAAACGCAGAAAAAAAGAGCTAAGTATGCACCTTCATGAGATCTTGAACAAGCTAATAAACAATCTATGAAACAGGTGTATTATTTGTAGCATTTCCTGCAACTACTTAGTCACAGTCATCTGTCCTACCCCTTCACACAGCAGGTCACAGGGTTAATATTCCACTCCAAGGACCACCCCTTAGAAAATGCTATATTAAATATTAAATGATTCTACTATATCATTTTGTTCTACAAGCCATGTAATATTTTATATATTACTATAATCACATTTAGAGATTTGTGCATTTGAACTTTTCAATAAACTAACTAAATGCATTGAATTTTTTATTACTTAAATGTTTATTTCCCTAGCATAAATAGTTCTTATCTCTTTATAAGTTTCAAAAAACAGTCAGTGCTACTTTGTGAACAATTAGGTAAAGAAGAGCAATTAGGTGAAGAAGAAATGGTATGAATAATACGGTTAAAATCTTTAGGGAAAATCCTAGGCAACATATATATTTCATGTAAAACATGCAACAAATTACTATCACCAATGACTTTCCAATCATTTTGAAAATAATGTCGAAGTTACACCAAAGGTTTACATATAGCACACATATAGCTGACCTTCATTCATTAAGACATGCCATCTTCCCCAAAAAACTGATTCTAACAAAATAAAGAAATTTATTCACAAAGAGCACAACTCTTTACTTGTTCATAGTGATCTTTTTGCTTTTAAATTGACCATAATGGCATTTCACACATATACAAAGTGATATGTATAAAGAATCAGAATACCAAGTGAAACAAGGAAAAAGTATCATAAATAGTTATACTTAATGTATGTCTGAAATTTTCCCCATCTTCAATAATATTAGTAAAAGCAGCCCAGGGAATTGACAGCAACGTTACAAAACTAACGTAATACACTTTCAGGTTCTTACACTAGGGAGACAGTACGATGTTTACACATGTGAGTCCAATTTATTTCATTTATGAGTATGGTCTCTAATTGCATCCATTTACTTATAAAAGCCTCAAGTTTATCTTTTTTTACAGCTGAGTAATACTCCATTGTATAACAATACCACATCTTTTTTACCCATTCCTCAGTAGATGGGCATTTGGATTTGATCAATTTTACATTCTTACATCTGTTAATCTGAGCAACTTTGTTGAAGAAAAAATAAGTAATATAACAACCAATGTTAATTCTTATCATTTTGTTCTAAAACCCTGTGTCATTCTCATTGTTTTTGCTTTGTTTGGTTTTTGTGTATGTTGTTGGTATTTTTGCTATTGTTTTTTATTATTCTTCTCTTTAAAATAAAAAAAGCTAATGTAATACAACAAAGTTCACACTTGAAGAATACCTCTAATAAGAGTAATTGTGCTTTAATAAATGGGGCTACTTCTTGAGGATCAAACAATGCTCCTTAAATTTACATTATTAAGTCTGTGACAGAAAATATAAAATAAACGTGTGTAAACACAGTGGAGTGGAGTGTCCTCTGACATATTGTAATTAAGGTTTATTAAACAATATACAATCAAATATCAAGAGTAACATGTTGAAGAAAATAATTACTCCAGTTTACATATATTTAAGTAGTTTAGTAATGCATACACAAATGCTATTTTAACCAACTGCTGGTACCAAAATTCTCTTAAGGATAAAATCTTTACAACATCAGAGATGGAGTATCTCTGCTCAGTTACACACTTATTTCATTTTACTCCACACCACAGTTGTGTTCTTGCTCATTAATGTTAATTCCAGAGACCTACTGAATAACAGAAATCACTAAGCTATATTTGCAACATAGTTCAGAAGCCTAAAAAGATAATTAAATTACTCTTCTCTATACCACTGCACTCAGTTTGTTAAATCCTTAAAAGCAACAGTTTAAGAAGATAGCACAATTGTTTATTTTCTGAAGGGAGATAATGTTAGACAAATTTCTTTCTAAATTGTGTATATAATCCATTTGTGCAATTTAGTTGTTTTCCCCATTACATGTAGAGTTCAACACATATAAACTCTTTTTCATCACTTTGAACTTTAAATGGCTTACTATCTTATTCCAAATCTAAATCAAATTTTGTCACTTTCCCTAATTCCTATGATCAGAACATTACCCAAAGCCCAAGTGGGTGTTGCAGAGATTAATTCATGGTTTCCAAAAACTCAGAAAGAAAAGTGCAAAATCTAAACGGTTCCCTGCTTCAAGTGGAAACAACCGTGGACACCTTTTACCTCCTTGGAGCACTTTTGGAAAGGGAGCTATAACCGTCCCATTTGTCCAGGGTGGAGAGCTTTATAAAAATGTGAGACTTTTAACACTACAACTAAGGAAGTTCCACGCAAAACAGAAAGGGGTTGTCACTTTTGCTAAGCTTCCTTCACATCCACATCGCTGTGTTTAGCCCTAAAACAACAGTGTGTGCACACAGCCTCACAATCTGCTGACTTTCCTGAATTCTCTTTGAATACTTATTCATTTAAAGAAGAAAGAGAATAAAGAAGCAGCTCCAAAGCCAGGCATTCAGAGTCATCTGGAATTTGTCCTTTGAGGAGACAAGAGAGCACACACAGAACCCCAAAGCACCTCTCAAGAGGCACTAAGTTTCCCTTTCTTCCCCACCTATATTTGGAATTCTCCCCTTTTCCTCAACCTGGTTACATGGATCTGCCCGGGAACCAAAGCTTAATGCAAAGCAGCTGACGGCATCCACAAACACATCCCTTCACCCAAAACCTGCTCTTCTTCTAGTAGGACTAAAAACCTAGAAGATGATATGGACAAGCAAAGGTTCGTTGTTTCAGGCAAAATCGGACACAACCATTTTTCCAGGAAATCAGGGAGTCTGCTTGCCCATGATGGACTCTGATTTAAACCTCCATGTTGTATTCTCTCAAGGTATTCAACAACCTCTCCTAACAGTGATGTTGTTTTTATGTAAAATATAGAGAAAACTTTCCTGAGAGTAGTGATATCACCAAAAATATACATAGATATTAAAATATCTATGTTAAAATTATATGTAGCTATTCTAAAATTATTCTTCTATTACCTCTTCTAGTTAGTATTTCCAAAGTACAGCATCAGTTACCTGTCATTTACCACGCTTTGAAATCTGTTCTTCAAAATTCCTTGCATTCATAAAATCTAATATTTTTCATGAGAAAAATTTAATTTTTCCACCCAATTTTCTTAATTTTCTTAATAAATCAAGTTGATCCCTCTCTTCTCCTCCCCTCCCCTCCCTTCCCCCACCCTTCTCCACCTCCTCCTCCTCCTCCTCCCCCTCCCTCTCTATTTTTCCTGTGGTACCAAGGAATGAACCTAGAACATTCACACTGAACTAGAACCCCAGCCCTCTAATCTTTTTTCTTTTGAGACAGAGTCTCACTAACTCATCAATTTGTCCACGTTGGGCTTGAACTTGCAATCCTCCTGCCTCAGTCAGCCAGAGTTTAAGATTACAGTCATGCACTACCACACCTGGGCCAAATGTAGGAAACTGTACCAACCATAGGGAACACTTTGAAAAAATTTAAAATTGAAAATATTTTAAAAATTAAAATTTAACATTTTCAACTGTAAAGTTTATCCATCATCAAGATAAATTTCTATCCCTAATTCTGTGTCACTTTAAAAACTCAATTAAGAAAAAACTCAATTCAAATAAACCAAGTGAGTATTTATAGTATACAATTTTAGAAAATCATTTTGGGTTATCTTTGTTTTTTATCACAATGTGCTCTATTTAGAAAAAAATCATTTCCATCTTAACCATTCATTTTTTCTCTCTCTCAGTAACTGTTTTTTGAATACTCATTTTGTACCAGGAACTGAATTTAGGCAATATAGAACATGGTATAAACCTAAAAATATAAAAAAAAAAAAAAAAAAAAAAAAAAAAAAAAAAAAAAAAAAGGGAAAATAACAGGATTGATTTAGGATCTTCAAGTCACAATGAACTTAACTGGAAACTTCTAGCTAAGGGACAGTGACAGTGTCCTACAGATGTGTCAGGGCCAAGTCTTTTCAACAAGTGGGCCTGAATTGCCCCTATGTAAGCTACTCCCAGGAGATACTGTGTGTTCTAAATACCCTGAATCTGCATATATAGGTACCCATATAATTTGTTAACTAACCCAAGAGACCTGTGAGCATAAAAGGAAGTGCTTTTAGGTGCTCCAAACAACAGGCCTGACTGAACTCAAGAATATTCCTGGTAGTGTGATAATTATGTGTCTATCTGTATACACGTACATGCGTACACATGATATAAGGCGCCGTCACTACACAGAACTGGTCTCCTTCACCTGCATTAGAGCTCTGCTCTGTGAATACCGGTCTCACCACTGTTTGACAGAGATATTAACATCAAACCAAAGTCACCTACTGTTACCTTATATTCCAAATTTTCTCAGATGGCTCTACTAGCAAGAACTGATTCCTTTATTCCCACAGACATATTTATAACTTAAAATATCATGCATCCAAATTTCTGATCTAGACAACGTAGCAGCATGAAACAGTACCCCTCCCCTCCATGCAGAAATAGGGTGAGGTTTCAAAAGAGTCAAAGATCAATGTGACAAAGGATACTCCCTGTCACTAGAGGGCAGAAGCCATTCATGTGATGAAGTAAAGAACACTTGAAGCATTTTCTACAAGGGGTTTCACCGTTTACTTACAATTGACATCAGGGTTAGGACATAGTGCTGCAAATTCTGTCCATGGTAACGAACCATCTTAGCATCAGCGGTCACCATAACTTCCACATATCTTGGGTATGATAAAAAACGTTTATTCCTGGAATGTAAGTGACTTCTTTCGTCTTCCAATGACCTATTTTTTAAAGGGTATCCGAAAATCATTTCCTTCTCTATGTGAAGATCTTCATTCATGGTGCTGTCGTTATGCGAATATAAAGCAGTTTTCTTTATTTGATTTTCTGAGAAGAAAAAAGAATACAATGGAGACTCATTGAACTGGATCTGATTAAATATATTACACAAAACAGAGTATTTGGAACATTTACTACTTATACATCTGGCTTCAATGTGAAACAATAAAAGGACAAACAAATTATTATTTAAAAGAATACTGCACCACATTATCATGAGCACTAAAATTCATAGTAATGAACACTTTGCAAAATGTTTACATTTTCATAGACCACACTAAAAAGACCATCTAAGTCTTACTGTTACAAGTCTGACTGTAAAAAAGAAATTATTAGCCAGTGGGTAATCAATAAATGTCTACTGTTTTTCTCAGTCGGTAGCATGGTTCTTTAAGGCACCAATGACATTTAATCTCACTGCAGAGCAGTCATATTTTGTAGAGTGAAACTTCATTAAACAAAGAACAAAACGTGTTTTTGTTATGCAATGTGTAAAAAGTCTCAGGAATAACAAAGAAATTAAGCAATATCACATTAAATGGCAGTTTAAAACCAAAAAGTCAAACGCAGATGTGCATTTTATAATAGTTAGTAATATAAAGTACCTAATTATTGTAGTTATATACAAAATTACTGGATATTGCTCATTATTACAGTAACTACCTTTACATACCATGCACAGAAACCTATACTTTTAAGTCACTGACTACTGCCACTCGTAAGCAATAATCAGGCAGCACGGGTGCCTGTCCTCATTCTTTCTTTTTTTTCACTTTTTTCTTCTCATCTCTTTTCTGCCTTCTTTTTCTGCTCATTTTTCTACCAATTACTTGGTGGTAGTATTTTCGGCAAAAAATGGACCAAAAGTGTCAGAAGAGAAGAAATAGAAGGCCCTCGTAATTTTTAGAAAAAAATTTAAAACAAAAATAGTTAAAATAAGCAAGATTTATTAGATAAATATAAACTATAGATTTTATTATTAAAATAGTCTACTTTATTTCAAATATAAAAGTAATCCTTTGCTTCTGAGAAGGATTTTTGAGTTATCAGGAAAAAGGCAAATATTCAGTTTGATTTATTTGCTCATCCATTTCACTTATTCAAAACAAACATTTATTGAGTACTTGATCCAGTGATAGCGAACCTATAACACATGTGCCGCAGCAGGCTGCTTATTATCATTGAAAGCTCTAAAAGGTTCGCCATCACATAGCCTATGTCAGAAAATGTTTAAAGTGAGGAGCAAATGTGACCTCATAAAGCGTATACTTTAGTGGAAAGAGACAAAAAATACGAACACATATCTGAACATAGAATTTCAGTTACTTTAAGTGTCTCAATAATAATTCAACCAGGAAACAAAACACTGGTTCTATCTATTCAGAGGGCTTCAATTTTAAAAACTGATCAAACCAAGTGTTGATATAATCTCCTTGAAAAGCTTTCAGGCAGTTTCTGAATTAAATTTCCATCTACACTGAGACACTGCAATTCCACACCTAGGTGTGTACTGAAGTGGGGGAAAACATATGGCTATACAAAAATTCACGTAAAAATATTCATAGTGGACACACAGACCAAAGGAACAGAGCAAGAAGTCCAGAAATAACCTCTCATATACATGGTCAAATGATCTTCACCAAGGTTCCCAAGATCGCGCAACATAACAAATGACTGTAACTCAAAATCGATTAAAGACTTAAAAGTAAAACCTAAGCTATAAAACTGCTAGAAGAAAAGCATCATGAAGTTAGACTTAGCAATAAATTCATGGATATGATACCAAAAGATGAGGCTGAAAGAGTGGGAGCAAAATTAGACAACCAGAACTATACCACTCAAAAGCTTCTTTTGCAACAGACACAATCAACAAGGAGTCTCCTTACCTCACAAAAGCAAACATCCAAAGGTAGCAAGTACATGAAAAGGCGCCCTAAACATTTTAGTAATCAAGGGAATACAAGTAAAAAACAATGGAACATGATTATATACTTGCCGCAATGGCTAAAATGAAAAAAGACTCATAAAAACAGTTGTGCTGATGAATGTGGAGCACCTGAACCTGTCATGAACTGTTGGTAGCAGTGCAGACTGGCACATCTGCTAGGAAAATGTCTGTGGGGGAGGAGTAAACCTGGATGTGACACAAATCCTAGAGGGAAAGGTATTTGTGTGTAACGTGTGTGCAAGTGATACAGTCACATTATCAGAGAAAAACATAGACAAAAATAGCCACGTTACCAAAGAAAAACAGAGATGTCCAGGAAAATTTCTAATTTAATGAAGAAAGTCAACAAAATTATGAAAAGGAAAGAAAAAGAAGAAACAACATGTTAATGTGAAATACCAATTACACTTAACACATATATTGATTATTCAAAGCCAAATACATTTCTGGAGCTTCATTTATATTACCTTATTTAGTAATCACACATGAGACAGATACTACTGTTAATCCTACTTCACAGAATCTACAACAGAGAAAGGTTAAGGAATTCATGGACATCACTGGCAAATGACAGAGATGGAAAGAAGGACAACTAAAAGTAACAAAGCTGTATTGATCACTAAATACAATAAAGGTGAATGCCTTAATTTTGTCTATCAAAATACAAAAGCTTTGTAGAACTGATTAATAAATAAAATCCAGTCATGCATGAATAAGTAGCACAACTGAAGTTCAAATCACAGAGATCTGGCTGCAGAGTGTGATTTCAACCACTGAAGGATACTGTTTGACAATGAAGTTTAAAGGAAAAAAAAAAGAAAGAGAGCCATTGGCCTGCAGTAGCTTCATATACCAAATTGGAGTGTAGTTAATTATTTAAAATTTTTCTTGTACTCTCACATTCCTCTTGTGCAAAGAGCCTTTTCTGGACCTACATATATTTTCTTTGTTGCTCACTAGTCAACAAAGCCAAAAGTGTATGCCCTGATAGAATGAAGTGCTGTTAGTTTTTATGAGTAATTTACATTGTTTTGAATGTGAAACATGCTTTTTATCTTGCCTCTCATACAGAAGGATTTTTAACCTCCTTATTGATACCCAATCAGCCATTTAGCAGAAAGAACCTGTGTCACAACTGAAGTAATTTACGACACGGTAAGGAAGGATGGCTAAGAGAAGCTGTTGTATCTTTATGAGTATTTCAGATTGTGTGTTTTCTTTCTTCTATAATACCTTACAATGGAAAACAGGCAACTTCAAATAGAAGGAATTTATTTAGATAACAGTAATTATGGTGGATTGACAACTGATGGTCAACTTGTAACCCCCAGCTGAACTGAGTCAGCGTGGTGCTGGGTGTGGGAGGCCCAGCTGCAGACTGTTGCCGGCAGCATAAGAGGCAGACCTAGAGAAGAAGGCTGTTGGGGGCTGGTAGAAGCTCTAAGGAGTTGTTGGTTTTCTTGGAGGAGCTTGTCGGGCTGGCTTTCCTGAGGAACTCGGCTGTTCTCATCATCTGAGGAGCTCAGGACCTTGTTGCTGACAGTGGCTTCGGTTCACTTTGAGGGAGCTCTGGTCCTCACTTTGAGCATTGCTTCTGGACTCCAGAGGGAAAGATGGCGCACTGCCAGACTCCTAGTGAAGCCTGTTGTGTTGGCTTTCCTGATGGGAACTCAGCTTTCCTGATCATCAGAGGAGCTCGGGACTTCACTGTTGCTGGTGGCTGTGGTACTTTTCGGGGGAGATCTGGTCTTTACTTTGTCGCTTCCTGGCGCCAGTGCAGGTCCCTCAGCCTGCTAGCACAGATCCTTCATCCCGCTGGCACAGACTTTGTAGATTCCACCACTGACCTTTGAGGCTTCCCAGCACAGATCCATGAAACAGGCCTCCATGAGACACTGTCGTGGGCTCTGGGCCTCCAGTGGGATTCATGGGAGGCACTGTTATGGGCTCTGGGTCTTCAGCTGGACTCATGCAGGACATTATCGTGGAATTCAGGCTCTCAGCTGGATTCTTTGCTTCTTAGTGTGTGGACAGATTTCCTGCCCCCTCTTGTATGATTCTTTGGGTGATTATTATAAATAACCTTGTAACATATGTGTCCTGTATTATATTGTTCACCTTGCAACAAGCCCCAAACTATAACAGTACTATTTTAACAGCAGCCAATAATCTACCAATTTAAGGCTGGAACTTTTCTTCTCGCTTGCAGCTAATTATATTAAATAGGCTTCAGTGTGCTGAGATTGCTTTCTTTTTGTGAGTTCCTTACCTCATGCCATTGTTTAAAAGTCAAATGCATTTTAAGTAATCTCAGAGTAAGACTAACATTTTAAAAATCTACTTAAGGCTAACACTTAACATACTTTTTAAAGTTAACCAGCCAGGGATATAGCTCAGTGGCACAAGCGCCTACCTGGCAAGCGCAAGGTCCTGAGTTCAATTCCTGCTACCAAAAAAATAAAGTTAATGAGTTCATAAACTCTTTTGTTGAGATTCAAGTGTGTCGTATGACAGATTGGTGCTTCCTCTGAGACAGAAAATCCTTTTCTCCAGATGCCATACATCAGGTAGTACTCGTGCCCACTTTCGATCTCTTAGTGGCTAAGAGAAATTTGTAACAGAGTTCAATACTAAGAGTTTGTTTTCCTGTAGACAGAAGTATTAAGGGATAACGTAAGTGATTCCCTCTGGCAAATATCGCTTGAGCAAGGGAGGAGGTAACAGATGACTCTACCAGGACCGCAATCCCCGATTCAGTTTCTGCCCCCTTCACTCATGAGCCTCATGAGCCATATCTCTGTTTAACACTTCCATGGGGGTTCAGGTGATACATGAAAGCAAAAGATCTGGTCCCATTCCTGAAGAAATGTTAATCTAACAGATGAGATCCAACTGTTCCCTGGTAACCAGGGAACAGCCTCTTCAGCTGGACAACATCTCAGGCATTCATCCAGGAGTATATCTCAATCAGACACGTAACTTTTTGACAGACTAACTGTATAACACCAGCAATATCTGGATCCTAGAAATTCACTTTCCTTGAACTCACTGGATCCTTGGGGCACAAACCTTAGTCTTCCCCCTCTAGTAACAGTGTAAC